TTCTTTTTTTTTTTTTTTTAGAGTAATTGTGGATATTAACATATATAAAAAATCTTTAAAAAATGCTAGTATTTTAGCATTAAATAATGCTAAAATACTAGCATTTTATTAATTCCATTCATATTAATGAAAAATGTAATTACACATTCTAATTTAAAATGTAATAAAATAAAAAAAAGCATGTTTTATTAGACTTATTCTATTTTATCATTTTCATTTATTATTAGTGTATTAACATCTATAAAACATCTTCAAAAATCTAGTATTTTACTATTTATGCATTACTATATATAATATATAATAATAAACAATATTAATTAATTTTTTTATTATTTTATACATTTTAGTTTGAAATGTAATGAAAAAGCATGTATGTTTAGATTTTATTATTTTATTTTATTATTAGAGTAATTGAGGACATTAACATCTATAAAAACATCTTTAAAACATCTTTCAAAATGCTAGTAATTATTACACAATTGTATGTAGTTCAGGAATGTAGCAACAAAACAGAAAATGGCTAGCAAGACAAAGCATGCATATTACTGTGATGCTGTCAGCCTAATAAATTAAACGTTTGGTTGTGTTGATAAGATAAAGACGGTTCAAATGCTCAAAGATGTCTAATGAAATCAGCCCTTCCCACAACGCAAGCACTTTCGGCATGAATATAAATGGAAACCCTGATTCACAGTCTGCACTTTTGAGCTCTTGACTGTGTTTTATGCCTAGTTTCCTGCACTGCTGTCCAGAGTGCTACCGATCGGCTGTGTTTTTGCTGAGCTCAGCTCTTCCTGCACTGCCTCAGCAGAAGCTGGACTTTCTGAGCCCCTGTACCCAGCACTAATGACAGTCAGGGGAGAACAGACTGACTGCAGAGAGAACAGCTCTGCCTGCATCCCCACTGCAGCGGAATACTGCTTCTGCTCACGTTGGATGAGTAGTAAGATTAGCTTCATCCTAAATACAGTGTTTTCTTCCAAAAACAATTGAGCTTCATTCTAAGATTAGATTAAGTCTAATGGTAATTTGTTGATCAGAATTTAAGCATCTGCATATATATATAATAAATATAAACACATAACAATGCATAACATATACACATATAAATAAATGATATACTTTCAAATCAGATTCAGTTACATTTAATGTGTTTACTTTGATGGCTGTCTGATTGTTGGTTCGTACCTGTGCTGTTGGGAGTGGGGGTCTGAAGGCTGCCCATCACCGTGACAACAGGGCCCATGGGTAATGAAGAAGGCCTCTGTTCAGTTTTACACACCTGAGCTCCATCTACAGATGAACACACACCCTTCATATGCCCTTGGCCCTTATAAATGCACACAAAATTTGCAAACCAAATCTAATCTCTGAGTTTCCAAATCAATGGACTACAAATGCCAAGAAGCCTTTAAAATAAGCGTAAAATATATACAACACTATTAAGGAATGAAACGGAGAAAGAGACAGAGAGAAAGACAGCTCACCTGTGGGTAGAGTGGTCTGCGTTGGCATGGCACTGGCACTGACTACAGACGTGTTGAGAGGGGCAGGCTGGAATACCCCATCCACTGGGTTTATGGTGCTCTGCAGAGAACAACAGACATGATACAAAACACAGCTCTCACAGGAAAGCACGTTATAAATACACCCTCTCATAGGAGTTTTCAGTTTCATTGCCCAACCCAACTATCACAGAAATCATCAGGGGAAACAAGGACTTGTGATATTCAGTTACTAGAACTGTTTAAAGGGATATTTCACCCAAATATGACAATTCTGGCATCATTTACTTACCCTAATGTTGTTCTAAATCTGTATGACTTTTTTCTTCTATGGAAAACAAAAGATGGACGCTCTTTGGAAGTATAATGAACTTTCATTTCAGAGTGGACAGGATACACTTTTTCCTTTTGTGTTCCACAGAAGAAAATCTGTGATACTGATTTCGAACAACACAAGAGTGAGTAAATGAAGTAAATGTTAAACTATCCCTTTAAGGTGCTGAAAAAATTTTAATATCTATTTGTAAGTGATATATTCAGACATTCAAGGTATATTTATTGAAAAAAAAAAAAATCTCCAGTTGACTCTTCAATGCTCTGATTTCCTTCATGAAATAGTAAAAATATTGTTATTTATTGTTAAAGACAACATGAAATCATGAAATTAGCACCATTTACACTAACATTCAAAGGTCTGGGGTCAGTAAGACTAGTTTTTTTTTCAGTAAGGCTGCATTAAACTTATGTCGTATGTCAATAAGATGTCATATAATGCAAGTTACATGCATTACCATGCTGTCTTAAACCTTTTTATGCATCCACATTCTTTCTACACAGAGAGACAGAAATAGTCATTGATGTTTTGATAATCAAGAGAAAGATCTGAAGTAAATCAGTGAATTCAATTCAGTGCTTTATAATACACTGTGTCCAAATAAGCAACATCACAGCTGTGGCCCGTGTCTGTCACACTGAATCTTTTCAATATACAAAAATCACTATGAGTCAATCTCTGTCTTATGGTAACTAAACACAGAGCATCTGTCAGTCGGCACAGACTCAGACACAAGGCTATTTAAGCTCTACACCCACGTCGACAAGATCATCCCAAAATCCCGCATATCATTCACTAAATAGCCAAGGCAGAATGACAAATAATTTCTACCCAGCAGTGAAACACTGACGTCACAGGGCACAGCGGTGAGGTAACAATACCTGAAAACACACAAGGGGGAAAAAAGGCATGCAGGGGAGTGAGTGAAATGAGTTTGGAGGGGCTTTTCTGCAAAAGGGATTTTAAAAGATTGTTGTTCTGAATAATCTGTTTCGTTGTACCACAACAGAGGCTGCTGCTCTTAATTAAAAGCCAATTGGAGCAATTAGAGCCCTGCAGCGAATACATAAACACTAGAATGAGATTAAATCAAGAGGCAGAGACACTCAGGTAATCACAGATTCAGAAGGAAGAAACTCAAGATTCCAAAAACAGAAGAATACAACATTTGGTTGAAGTCCTTAAATACCGTTTGCATTTTCAACATTTCATGTTCAAAGATCTGCTATAATGCACATAAAACATTATATACAGATTTTAGATTTGGCTTTTTTAGCCATATTCAACTCAAACTAAACCAGTCTGCGAGGTGCATTAAACGCAGTTGGTGATTACGTCACTTCAGCACCAGTCTTGACGGTTATTGACCCAATGAGAGCCTCTGAGTAGGTCGTAATAGATCCGTATCCATTTGTCCTACATGGTTCAATAGCATGTATGACAACGGAAAATCAATGATTATTCTGCGTGCACATATGTGTGTCTTACGTTTGCAGGGTTTAAGCAGTTTGGTTCAATCATAATGATGGAAAGAAGTATTGAGGTTTAAATTTGTTGCAAATCATGACCATAGGAAAGGACAGGTCCAGAATTACCCGACAGGAAGGTTGGTGATTACGTCACTTCAGCACCAGTCTTGACGGTTATTGACCCAATGAGAGCCTCTGAGTAGGTCGTAATAGATCCGTATCCATTTGTCCTACATGGTTCAATAGCATGTATGACAACGGAAAATCAATGATTATTCTGCGTGCACATGTGTGTCTTACGTTTGCAGGGTTTAAGCAGTTTGGTTCAATCATAATGATGGAAAGAAGTATTGAGGTTTAAATTTGTAAGAAAGAATGAAAGCAGAGAAAAACAGAGAGAGATGTAGACGTGGTGGACGGAGCCCTCCGATCAAGGTCATGCACATCTCAGTTCAGTTTAAAAAATGTGATTTCAGTGGAAGAGAGAACAGTAGCACTGTTTGATTTAGACTAGTTCATTGCTAAGGAATGTCAAAACTTACTATCAGTCCGTTTGTGTGTTGCTGTTCGTTACTTTGATCCTTCAAATTTTGAAAAAGAAAACACAAATTGAGAAATAAGGCAACTCCACAGTTGGGAGAAAGCCACAAAAAATGCAAATGGTCTCTGCTTTAATTTGAAGCAATAACAACGGTCACTCAAGGTATTTTAACCTACTGAATCTCTCAGGATATGTTCACACAGTCAGTGTTTGGGATTGTCAACTGTATTTATTTACTAACAGGTCCCCATTCATAGTAAAACTTACAGGAGTCAAATAATTTCACTGTAAATAAATTTGATACAAACGAGTCCAATCAAGGTCAAATTTTTAGGTCAATGTGAGCATAACCATACTTGGCACTGTAAAACAAGCCTGACAATCGTATTCTGCTGCTGTGTGAACATAGCCATAGTGTAGGAGAATCACCTCTCCAAACCATTAATATGGTATCTGCTGGAATGTTCATAAGCCGGCCAAGATAAACATTAAAAGGGTTATGGAAAATTACAGGTTGGGTTGCACAAGACATAAATATTAACACAGTGAGCAGACAAAACACAGGTGCATAAACATTCTAAGCTTAAGAGACAAGCGTTTTACCTTGGCAATCTGTAGTAGTACGATACAGTGTTTGATGGACTCTACCATACTCTAAAAAAAGAAAAAAAGAACAACAAGAAATGAAAATACATTCCACTACCAAAATTAGATCTAAAATGCATTAAGAGGGTGAAGGGGCAGACACTCTTACACAAGTCGTGTCCTTCAGGTTCTCGATTTTCTGTGAATAGGACAATGACGAACAAGAAAAGGGACAGTTTCAGTTAGAATTGTGAAATGCCCTTGAATTAAAAACAAAGATGCACCTTTACAAAACCTAAAAAAAGCAGAAACGAAAGCCTGAGACAAAATGACAGTCTCATGAGTTTCATCCCCTAAAATAGGCTTAAAATGTGACTCTCGGTAAAAGCTTGCCTTCAAATTTGGTATTTGAAGTATCTTCAGAATTTCTCTGCGTGTGAACAATATACAATGCATTTACATTTTATTGCAGCTAACTGACCTCCCACCCTTTTCCATCTCCCCCTTCCTTTCACTGGCTAACTCAATTTGCAATCACTGAGTGATTTGCATTTAGTGCCTGATTAGAAATGTATGCAAAGAACTTAATTTATTTATTCTTAATAATGAAAATATATTAATGTCTATTAAACTACATAATATATTGCCAAGGCTGAAAATGGACACATTTACCTTTCTTTGTGTTTTCAGTTAACAGCTTAACTTACTAGCTAAAACAACATATCATAATATTGCACTATATTTTGATCAGGCATGACTTTACTCTGGCTCTTTTATTTGGAAAGGTGGGATGTCCTTCAATAGAGATGCCATATTGGGCATTCCAGTTTCTCACAATTATTGTAATACAAGTGGAATGTCTCTGCCATATACTGTGCCTGGCAGAAAGACTCTGATAGACGATGCATCTCTGATAACACAAATAAAAAAGATCATGTCTTACTCTGCGCGACTCATCTTCCTTGCAGTCTTTAATCTTTTCATCGAAGAGCTAGAAGATGCAACAAGAACAGGAATTAGACAGCAATGCATGTAAGAAAATTATGTCAACTCAAAATACAAGGCACTTTTGAGTCACGATGAGGTCTTACGATAAAAAAGCCTTACTTTTAACTGGTCGATCAAAATCTGCAAATACGCATCAGCTTCAGCTAGCTTCTTGTCGAAGTCCTGAACGCTGGGAACGAATCCTGTTTCTGCCTCCTGCAAGTGAAAGTGAGAGGGATCAGTTTCAGTCCTTCTCCAGTGTATAAAAGCTTCCATGGTGTCCTAAGCTCAGTCACGTTCTGCTTTCGAGAGGAACTGAGCAGAACTGCTCCCTGCTTCTTCACATTTCTCTCTAACAACTTTAACTGAATTACACAATTAGACAACAGGCATAAACCGAGATCAGACCATAAGAGGGACTGATACTGAACTGAACTGCAGAATAAAGGCTACATGCTGTGATTGGTTATTGATGGTTACTGATACTAGAAAGCAAAACAAAAAAACCCAAAAAGTCATCCGATGCACATCAAGCACCACAATGATGTAAGTTTCTAGGATATGAGGCCAGCCGATCATTATCTTGTACAATAATATTTCTGATTCAAGCAATTTCAAGGTTGAAAAAAGAGAAAAAAAAAATACTTAGGTTGTTTAAGATGATCAACAGACTTGTCATAACTGATATGCAGACCTGGACTTTAATGCTGATCATGATAACATACAATTAACCAAGATTTTTAATGGAATCATTTCAATTTTACTTACCCGAACAACTAAACTATGAGTTTTAAAACTGGGGTGCATTTTAAAATGAAATAAAATAACATTAAATACAATTTTTAGTTTAAAATAAGTTGTCAACTGAATGTAATTTTAGGAATTTAAGGATATCACAGATCAACAAATAACTACTTTTTAAAGCACATGCTTTATGCTATGACACTTCTCCTATGAGGTCTGAAGTCCTTTCTAAACTCATAACACACAAATTTTGAGAATTAAACAAGACTAAAACCTTAAAACAGCTCCCTTATAACTAGAACAAGACATTTAAATATTATTACTGTAACAGAAGTCGTCTGGCAACCTTATAAAAAAGGCAAACCAGAATTCCTTCTTCTATATGTAGCATAACCACAAATACAACCTTTAGCTATTCGGGACCTCTTCAGTTAAACTTTCAGACTAGATTAAAGCTAATAGCAGCTAGCCCAGGTGGCTTTGAGGAGTGAAATTTAGATAGCACAGGCAATGTTGGCAGTAGCCTATACAAGAGAGGTACTCCCTGGTCTGGGGGTCACTGTCGTGAGCTTTGGGTCTTGCCGGCCTTCATGAAAGACCTCACGGTGGAGATTGGCCGAACTGAATTGCATAGGAAAATGAAGAAAAGCCATGGGCAGCTGACTGTCGGTCAAAATGGTAAACATTATAAAAATAGGTCAAAGTCTGCAGGAGCAGAGCAAATCCGCTCAGGAATCAAAGGTTAAGTGGAATATCAGTATGCATGTGATTCATTGAGTTAACTGCAAACACATGTAGACGCACAATAAAAGATCTAATGAAAGTTTTGCTGCTTTTAAAATAAACTAAAGATCAAGTTCCACTCTGAAGACATGACCTGATTGTACTAATCTACTGGTTATTTGTACTTCTGTCATGTAAGAATTATAGGAGGGCTTTTATAAAGCACTCTGTCCTGCTAAAACGAACTCCCTAAACAATGACGGCAGGATTTATTAACAGCTGGAATGAAAGCCTAAAGCATTGTGACAACTCGTAACACAATTTGCAAATATACTTCACATTTTAAGCATTGCCACAAGAGCCATTATATCAGACAGACGGTCAGTTTTCTCATTCAGGTCAACTATGGTCATGCCGGAGCAACAGTAGTGGATACAATAGCATATTATTATAGGGATTCGATATTGGAATAGCCTGCCGCAGTCATTAAGACAATCTTCCACCTATCATACTTTCAAAAATCACTTTAAAAAGTGGCTCATGACAAAACAGTCGTGTAACCATTTTAAGTAATGTTTTTTATTTGGGGTATTTTGTTTCCTATGTGATGTTTGTATGTACACTCTAAAAAGTGCTGGGTTATTTCTGTAAACACATTTTTGGGTTAATTGTGCTGGGTCATAATTCTGGGTTGTTTGAGGTAATGTAAACACACAGTTGGGTTGCTCATGCTGGGTCAAATGGACTGTAAGGGGTTCTTTCACCACTGAACAGCTGGGTTGGGTTATTTTGACCCAACCGGTTTATTTATTTTTCCTCTTCATGGAACTTTCTGGATGGACTAATTTGCATATTCATGAAACTGCATGTACAGGTGCACAGGCATAGTTACATCCAAGCTATTTAAAGGAATTAAGAAATTTTCACAGAGTTAACCTTACCCACTGGTTGGGTCAAATAAACAACCCAGCATTCTGGGTGAAATGGTTAAACCCAGCACTTGGGTCAAAACAACCCAGCGCGTGTTCTGTCCCATAGTTACCCAGCAGCTGGGTTAAGGTTGGGTTATTTTTTAACCCGGCACTTTTTAGAGTGTATATTTGAGAATGTGTGCACCTGCCTAGGGACAGCGGATGTAAATTAGCAATGTTGATAACCTAGCTTGTTTACATTCTGTATTTTATACAAATGTTCATTAACATGCATTGTCCCTATCAAATAAACAGACAAACAAACAAACAAACATGTTCAACAGGCTGCTTAACTTGCCAAGCATTGCTTTTGCGTACCTTTGCTAATACTACAGTATGTTTCTGGCAAACTAGCATCCTAACAGTTGTACTACTGCCCTTCTATGTGAAAAAAAAACCCCAAATGGGACAATTTCTGGTTAAGGGACAAACAGATGTGTGATTTAACTGCTATATGTTAATATATCCGGCATACGCTTTTATTGAAATGCATATTCCCTGGGAACTGACCCACAATTCTCTAGTTAAGTATGCTTGATCATATCCTACAGGCACCATAAACATCTCACCTCCCAGCAGCCCTGAGATCTGCTATTTTGGCATGAACAAATTGCCAAAATACCTCTTAACAAGCATTTGCGACCTCCAAGAGAGCATTACAATTATTTTTATCCTGTGCCTGGCATAAGAAAGCTATGGCACGCTGAGCTGTTAACACACAACTGAACACACAGATTCTCAAGACAGGAAGCTGATCCCATTGACTCACTCTTTCAGTCTGACTCATAGCAGAAAATCTGAACATCCAACACAACTGCAGAGAATATTTCAGTGTGAATCAACTAAGCCACCTGGGGTGTATAGGCTATCGTTGTGCCTTTTTAGGCAACAAACACACCAGTGAGACATTTGAAAAGCAAACACACAAGTCTGAATTGAAGTCATGTGCTCTATTATGTCAGCACAGACCGTACACACATGATGTGGCTGAGATTGCAAATCTCAAGTTAGTAGAAAAGTAACTACGCATTCAAGTATGACCCATGGCCTCTCTATTTGCACACGCAAATGCTTCCCTACCTTCGTGAACATACCCACCCACCCCTACCTGTCCACACTCACACACACACACACACCATGATTTCACACACACCATGATTTAACGCATCAGTAAATTCCAACAAAGATACTCACTCGGTTCTTGACACTGCAGGACATGCCTCCACAAATCTGACCCACACTCATAGAAACACTTTCAATATCAGTTGAAAAACACCCTTTCCAGTAAGTTCCTCCTCTAAAGGAGGGGCGAAAAAGGTGAACAAATACCTATTAGCTTGCCAGCTGATTCAGAGCAGTTCTATAAACCACTATTGACCAGGAACAGGAGACTTCCTCAAAAGAAAAAAAAGAAGAAGAAAAAGTAGCATAAGCCCTACAGACTGTAGAAAACATAATACAGTGCTGTGATTGGATCTGCCATCTGCTGCACGGGAGGGGCTGGCTGAATAAGCAAAGCTGTGATTGGCTGCTGGAGATCATGTGACCGGATAGCTGCGCACATTCTGCGTGTAGGTACACGCAGCTGCCAGTCAGCAGGTTTAAAAAAATAAATAAATAACAAGCTAAGGTTGAGTTAAGGTACAGAAGGAACAGATAGATCTTTGAGAGGATAGGATGAGGGAAAGAATACAGAGGCAGAGGAAGAAAGTAAGCATGAAAAATTCATAAAATTAATTACAAGATGGGAAAAAAAACTAACTAAAGCTGCATGCTTTTCTCAGCCTGTCCTGGTTTCCTCCATTGATACGGAGCAGGTGGGCATGTCTAGCGCATTCAATACACTCAGAGCTCCTCTTCAGGCCTTTTTTTGTAGTTTTCAGATCATTAGAAAAGCAAATATTTCACATACTCTAATTAAAAACACATTATGCTTTCCTAATGACAGCCAATGGGAGGACACCCCTGTTTGTCAAATTAATTTAAATTTTTTTTAAACTAATTTAAAATATATTTTTAATTGCAATAAACAATACTTGCAACAACAACAATAATAATAACAACTTTATACATGTGAGGAGTACAGGTTAAAAAAATGTCACAAAAAATCATAAGGTCTTTATTTTAATTATTTTAATTACACCTCTCCGAGATCATACATGTAAGTACATGTGGCCTTGATGTGGCTCTTACCCGCTGAAGGGTGTGGCGAAGAATCGTCCCCTCTAAGGCATGAATCCACTTCTCCCGCTCATCTGCGTCACGGGCTGAAGGGGAAATATCCAAAAACACATCCATTAGTAATAAGCAGACGGACCACACACAGCATGTGAAATGGAGAGTGGAGAATGACCCTGCCGTGGAGCTGTAAAAGTGACAGCAGTAACTACAGCTCTGTTGTCGAGTTTCACGAAGACAAGACAGGGTTGTGGTTTAAGTTAAACAGGAACACACACAAATGAAAGCCTCTGCCCTTGTGTAAATACGATTGGTAAATAACGCTTGTGGAGGAGTTTCTTATAGAAAAGAAGGATGAAATTTCAGAAAAGCCAAGGTCTGACTAAAAACACAGCCTCTGTGCTTCAAAAGATCTATAAATCAAGCATAAAACAATAAAGCCTACAGCATAAAATACAAGTAGGAGTTTCTAACAGTCAGGTCAACAAATTGATGTACCCTTAAAGGGATGGTTGACGTGAAATAAAATTCTGTCTTTGTTTACTCACCTTCATGTCGTTTAAAACACAATTTTATTCATTCCATTGAACTTTCTCATTGATGTTTACACACAATCAAACCTGATACTCACGCAAGAATAAGATTTATGAGCTTCAGTGAAGGAGATGGTTTTCAGTAAATAATGATTTAAATTCTAAAAAGATTTTAAAGTCTGTATTTCAAACACAGCTACCATATCAGAAGACTTAAAATATAGAGCAACAGCTGTACGGACCACTTCTATGGTGCTTTAAGGAGCTCTAGAGCCACTGTTCACCATCCACTTCCACTGTATGTAAAAGAGCAGTGTGAACCTTCCTCAAAACATATCTTTTTTGTGCTCCACAGAAGAAAGATATTCATAAAGCATCACATGGCATGAGGTAAATAGTCAGTTTAAAAAGTATATAAGTAGGCCTGAGAAGTTACCACAAAGTGTATAGACAGATATTAGCCTAAAACTCTCTCTCTCTCACTAACAGCCATTAGCCATTCATTTAACCATTCCCTCAGGGAACAGATGAAAAACAGCACTCCAAACATAACATATAGCTGACACTTCGATGGATGAAGGTCCAAAGCTCAGCAGAAAATCTAAAAGCTTTCAGAAGCACAAAGAAGATCTGACACATACAATCACAATTTACACATCCATGGAATCGGTTAATGATCTAATCTATACACCTGAACCAGAAATATCAACGATACAAATGGTTTAATATCTTCAAGAAAATAACTTTTAATTATTTTTACCTGCTTATAAAATACAGCAGAGCTAGTGTTTGCACAGGACCACCAAAGCCATCCTACATCTATGGAACATGCTTGAAATCAATGTCCCAGATCCGTGTGAGACTCACCGTCCAAAACAAACATGGCCCCTCCCTGCGCTACTGACACCGCAGCAGAGATCACATGACACATGATGCCAGGCTACCTCCACTCGCTAGCCAATGAGATTTCACTAGGTGAGGTAGTTGAGTTGATTACAAAACACTGCACTTGTCCGTTATTTGGCAATGAGGGCATACTAACATTGACCTAAAGACTACAGCAACAGCAAAACCCTGAGTAGAATAGGAAATTAAAAAAATTATCATTATTATTATTATTATTAATAACAGCAATAAATTATACATTTACAATATATATTTAATAATATAAATTAAATTATAAACAATGTAAAGCAATTATCATCAAAGAAATGGACACTTAAACTGCTGTTTAGTTGAACTGAATGTTCTTGGAGCAAATGCATGAGAGCTAACTTATTTCATTACCTATTTTGCACAATGTAATTCAGTTTTTAGTTGCTCCCCTCCCCATCTCTACCCTATATACTGAAAGAAAGGTGGAGTGTGTCTCTGGAGAGCAATGGCGGACTTCAGTCTGGAATGAGGGCACCTTATGCAATGTGCCCTTCTAACGACACTCCAGCTGTATGCAAGAGAAAAAGAGAAACTTCAGCACTCAAACAAATTGTCTCATCATTTATACAAATCCTTTTAAACGTAGTGAACGTTAAAGACATTTCTGCTACACACTAGCAGCTGCTGTATAACAGCAGGATGTTTTCACCAGACTTGTCACTAAGCTACTACAAGATGTTAAAGGATGGTGAAGCAAAGAGTAACAGTCGGAAGAGTCAAAAGAATGTGTGTGTCTGTGTGTGTGTGTGTGCTGGGGGTGCAATGATAATTTTAAAAAATCTGGCTGACACAAATAAATTATTTGCATGTCATGGTCAATATTCAATACATGGTTGATATTAAAATTATATACATTCAAAAGTTTGTGGTCTGAAAGATTTTTGTAAGAAAGTTTCTTTTTGAAAGAAGTCTATTATGCTCAACAATGCATTTGATCAGAAATAAAGTAAAAACATTCATATTGTTAAATATTATTACAATTTAAAATAACTGTTTTCTGCTGAATTTTCAGCAGCCATTACTCCAGTCTTCAATGTCACATAATCCTTCAGAAATCATTTTATGCTGATTTGGTGCTCATTTTGTTATCACAGCATTATCAATGTTTAAAACAACGGTGCTGTTTATTTTTCTATAAATGAATATAAAGTTCAAAAGAACAGCATTTATTCAAAACAGAAACCTTTTGAAACAATGTAAAAGCCTTAACTGTAATTTTTGATCGATTTAATGCATCTTGGTTGAATAACAGCAAAAACAAAAAAGCTAACTGACCCCAAACTTTTAAATGCTAGAGTATACTATTTTTAATTACAAACAACAACAACAATAATAATAAACAACACTAAAATAAACTTAAAAATTACTCAAGAGTTTTATTATAATGTACAGTATGAAAAAATGGACCCTAATGTTAACAGACTTGCTTTCAACATTATTGTTAAACTTAGTATTTCAAAGATTAACTTAAAGTGACTATTAGATGATGGAAATGGTCATCTAAACGTAAAAATAGGGGAAATATAATTAGATGTAGTACAGATTTATTGTGCATCCCTGGTGTGTGTCCATCTGTCCAGAAAACATAGTGAGCTGACTTATATCTATAGTTTGAAAAAGCCTTTGTACTGGGAAAGAGCTTTAAAATGCTGCTTAGCTCAGTAGGTTTTGGAAGAGTGCACATGTGTGTGAGTGTGCTCTCCTGCAGTCTCTACTAAACTCACTGCAGCTTCCATGTGACTCCCTGCCTCTTTCCACTGCCAGCTCTATCCTGCGGAAACATGAGAGTTTGACGACAGAAAGAAAAACACACACCAGTAGCTCATTCTTCCTCTATGCAACTGTTCCACTTCTTTTCTCCCTCTCTGTTATTTCATTCCCCTCTGGAGCATGAATGCAAATGTTGATCCATTGCCAGTAGGAGCTCAGTGTATGACACTGGAAGCTTTTAACTGCTTTTTTTTGCAGTCAAGTGTCTGAGAGGAAGACAGGTCGAGGCTTTTAGAAAATAAAGGGGCTTTCAGGCCGGACTGATATTGGGCCACAGAGGAGTATGATGAATTATGGATGGCCCTCTAAATAGCAAGTACAGTTCCTCTGAGCCATCTCTCTGGCCGACATTGTGCGAACCTCTCCATATATACCCGTCTTGACCGGTCAAACTCACCTAATTCTCAAATGTATCTTGCTGAGTGGGGAGGTTAACTATATTCTTACATTCACCGCTATGAAATTTCAAGCTCACATGGCTTTTACTGTCCTGCGAGTGTTCTTTACACCATATTTTCATTTAGCAGGTTCATTTCTAGAGCAAGGTTTTGTTCTTTCTACCCTGTAACATCTTAGCAGCATGTTTTTTGGTTTTAGCTCAGTGGGCAGCCTGCTGCAATCCTGATGATGTTTCATGTTGAAACAAGAAAAACAAAGCAGAGTTTTGCTTAAGTTTAACCTGAACACATCACACTTTATAAATCACTCCACCCTGCACTTAGCAAACACTGCAAAATCAGAACAACGCTCAATTATGATTGGTTGATAGGAATGTTGTTCCAGGATCAACAAGGATGTTGATCCAGGAACATGTTGTACTTGGTGAAATCACGGTCACCACGTTTTAGCATCCCAAAGCCAAACTTTAATAGACCGACATGCAAAAAAATGGTAATCTGTTAGAAGAAAAGCAAAGCCATTTGCAAACAGCTGTAGAGACCACACTATAGGAAACAGTAGAAGATCAGACAAATCCAGCATCTTTTATAGTTGTTTATAATTTGATTAAATTTGATTACACACTACCATTCAAATGTTTTCGAAAGAAGCTTCTTATGTTCACCAAAGGTGCATTTATTTGACCAAAAATACAGTAAAAACTGTAATATTGTGAAATATTATTACAATTTAAAATAACAATTTTCTATTTGAATATATCTTAAAATGTAATTAATTCCTGTAATGCCAAAGCTGAATTATTCCACTCTTCAGTGTCATATGCTCCTTCAGAAATCATTCTGATATGCTGATTTGGTGCTTAAAAAACATTTCTTATTGTATGAAAACAGTATTTTTGTAGAAACCATGATACATATTTTTAGGATTCTTTGATGAATAGAAAGTTCAAAAGAACAGCATTTACTTTAAATAAAGTATTTTGTAACATTATAAATGTCTTTACTGTCACTTTTGATCAAATTAATGTGCCATTGCTGAATAAAAGTATTAATTTCTTTCTTTCAAAAAAAAAAACAAAAAAAAAAAAACATGACCTGACCCCAAAATTCTGAACAATAGTGTAAGTCGGGTCTTTGCACTGTAATGGAGAACCTCTGACACCACTTAAAGTACTGAAAAAATAGGAATAGGATATTGCCTTTCGATGAATGTAATCTTCAGATTAATCAGTTATCAAAATAGCTGTTAGCTTCAGCCCACCATACATCAGATACATCAGCTCCGTTAACAGACACTGTGCATGCCATCTGAAACTAGTAGGAATAATAATAATAACAACAACATTCAAATCTTCATTTGCTCATGTCTTCAACAAGATCTTTACTCAAGAATACACCATTCTGAACCCAATGTGGCACCTTTTAAATCTAAATACTCTAAAAAATAACTAAGATACAAGAAAATTGTGCTGTGATTCCGGTCAACTGATATCAGGAGGCACAAAACCATTTCTGCTGTGGGGTAAATGGCTCCTGCTGAAATGGAGATATGAGAACTGATAGGATGAGTCCCTGAGGATCTCAAGAGGTGGATGGTATGAAAAGATTGTTGGAACTAAAGCCTGAGCTCCACACTCACATTCACTGAAATACACACATGCAAACGCACAACAGGAAATCTGGCACGGCAGGTCGGGTTTTTTTTTTTTTTTTAAAAGGCTTGGATTGGCATTCCATAGCACAACTGACACACAATGCCAAAGCAGGTCGGTAATGAATTTTACTGGTGAAAGTGAAAATTAATAAAGAGAAAGAGAATAATCTTCATTCAGTCCATGTGAGGAAAACTTATCGCAGGATGGAATGAGCCTAAAACGATCACTGATAAATAAAAAAGCCACAATCTTAACATACTCAACATAGTGCCACCAAGCACGTATTTTCAAAACCTGCAACTCCGAGAACGAATAAAACGCTCAAACGTTAAAGCAACCAGCCAACTCCAGGTGTAAATAAAAACAAAGCATGGTTGAAACTAATCATTAATGCAAACCCAAATGATAAACGGTCACGGCAGAAGACGCAACCAGACGAGTCCCAGCTGAGCGTGACCTTACCCTTCTTACTGTAAAGCCACAGCATACAGTGTCGGAACATAGCAGTGGGTGAGGGCATGGGGAGAGTGAACGCACCCCCGGCAGGGCGGATGCCGGGGGGGTGGAGGAAGACAGATGAGCCAGTGAGAAAAGGTGGAGGCTAGAGGCTAAAAACCTGGAGCTCAGCAGCCTTGAGTAACTCTGCGGTGAGACTGTCTGTTCTACTCCGTTTCTCCAAGAGTTCTTCTAGCTCCAAGGAAATTCCTAGAAGATATTCAACACGGATCCTGGAACAAAATCCGAGAGCCTCTGATCTCAATTCATAAAACTACGAAATCTGCAGATCGTCCCGTCAATGGTCGCAAGAGATAAGCCGGACAAATGCACCAGGCCTAATGCATGTATGGACTGTGTACATGCAACTGATGCGAGTGGGTCGTGTTTGCATTAGAATTCTGGTTACTGATGTCATAATCCTCTTTAAAATCAAAATGAGAAAGAGCATGTGGGGGAGAATGAATAAGCAAGAGCAAAAATAAACAGAGTGGAAAAAGGAGAGGAGGGATGAGCAGTATGGAGAGAGAGAGAGAGAGAGAGAGAGAGAGAGAGACAGACAGACAGACGGGGCACACGTGAGCAGCCGGCTGATGGCCGCACTATAAAACACTGGTTAAAAGCATCACAGCAGGAGGTGCCAACGAACAGAAGATGAGAGAGGAAATGGACGAGACAAAAGCACTAGAAGAACGAGAGAATGTAGACCTCACCCTGAAAATGGAAAGTCTTCTGGTCCACGGTAATGGTGAAAGTGCTGTCGTCCTCGTCATCGATTCCAATCACAGCTCCCTGCAAAAAAGGAACGCAGCGAAAGCTATTCAGACTGAGGAACACGTCATTCGCTCCCTCTCTCTTTCTATCGGTTCCTCTGCTCCACTCCCTCACACACATGAGAAGAGAGAGAGAGAGAAGGAGAAGGAAAGGGGTGGGAGAGAATGGGTGGAGTAAGAGAAAGAGAGGGGAACAAGGCGGAAAAGGGAGGAAAAAAAGAAAAGAGAGAAAGGGGAAGGAGATGGAAACTGAAAAGGGAGGACGGAGAGAACGAGTGAGGGAAAAACTGCAGCACATTCAGTATAACAGGACCAGAGGAAAAACATGCGACTATTAACTCTTTCACACCTGATGTACTACCACACCAGATTATCATTCACAAATCTAAAAGCCTTTCTAACATTATGAAACACTAAACAGAGCAGTTTGAAAACATGCCATGGTTTTGAGTAAGAAAATGCAGATGTGCCAGGCAGTACATTTACTAGTTACCGACAGGAAGACAGCAATAATTGCTCAGATCAGACCACAGGCCTTGAGAAAAATAAGCCAACGCCCTAAGCATTTTTAACGTCCGTCTTAGATTTAAGTTAACTGCTCACTCTCAGGCAATTTGGAGAATCAATTTCTTATGACTATTTAAAGCTATGCAATACATTCACATTAAAGGAGATTTAAAAAAACTCTAACTAACACTTCATTTGCAATTTAACTGCAAGCTGTTTTCAGAGAAATTTCATCCATCTTCATCCTTTTGGCATACAGGAATTATGAACACTAAACCTGGTGATAATAACTTTTACTATCTCTGTATTTAAGCAGTTATCTACAACTAAAATACTCATAATACCATGCAGCCTTAGATTTAACACATTAATTCTACTTTGTAGCTATATTATAACAATTCTTCCCTGCATTAAATGTACATATTTCATAACTGTCCTCTGCATATTAAAGTGAAGAGTGCGCCATCTGCTAGTGAGGAGTTTTCACAGCTTTGTTTTAAAGGGGTCCTATCATACTCTTTTACAAAGTCTTGATTTTGTTTTGGGGGTGTACTAGAACAGGCTCTCATACTAGGTTGTTCGAAAAACACATTATTTTTCACGTATTTTACATTATTACAACACCTCTCTCCCCAGTCTGGCATGAGTGTCTCCGACATTGTGATAACACTCGTTGCCTTCTCTAGTGTAGCTCAACCAGGTCTCGTCCCATTCGTCGGTATTTGTGATATCATAAATCCTGGAAAATATGCGTTGTAGTCCAAACGAGTCGTTCGTTGTAGTTTTTGAAAAGTGATTTCTGTTAAATAAAATATCTCCTTTTGAATTGGACTTTGAGCTTTGTAACTTTGCAGATCTTTTTTATGCTCAAACAGCAACATTACAGACTAACTAAAGTTGAAAAAGTGAAAAAGCAAAATAGGACCCCTTTAAATAGGTGAGGTATACAAAGAGCTTCTAAAGAATTGCTGCAAGGAGGAGGGCTCTTTATTGTTTTAGCATCACTGTATACTACAAGCGAGGAGCACACAGAAATGTTTTACTAAATCTGATGTTGAAAACCTTCAGGGACACCTAAAGGAAGACCTTAGACTCATTACTAGATGCAATCTACCTCAAATAACAATACAAAGCATATGGAATAAAAACAAGTCCCATCCTTTTTTGAAATTCTACATCCATACTATAATCCTGATGGCAGATTCTCAACAGCAGCTAGGGTTAAATTAACATAACTAAACAAGAATAAAAGCCAGAACGAGGACAAGCACAGACATGAGTTAATCACCGAAATGATAGACTACGGGGAAAAAAAAAAAAAAAAAGAGGGAGAAGAATCCTGCTTTAACAATAAAGAAAACTTCTTACCCGAAGTCGCACACAGCCTCTTCTAGAGCCACGCATCATCTTGTCCTTGGACTGAAGATGGACACAGAGTGTTAAAAGAGCATTTTGATAAATGACCAACACAGGACTGGAATACATTCAAATCTCACTTTGCTGAAGATTTAAGAAGTTCACAAACTGTTGGGTCTAAGATCATACATGTAACCAATTTGGATTTTGCATCATACAGTAGAAAATAGGCAGAGCTTTTAACATTACTATTTGCCTTTTAATATATATATGACATCCTTTATATTAATATTTAATATACTTCCTAAATTATAAATATTAACAACATTGTAAACAATGGTAGTACTCTGGAAACTGAGACTTGCAAAGCAGAGTTTTTTTAATATTATAAACTATATACACATTTTATACATACACACACACAGACATATATATATATATATATATATATACAGATTTAATGACATCCCATTCTTCTAGAAGCGCATTTGTGAGGTCAGGCACTGATTTTGGACGAGAAGGCCTGGCTCGCAGTCTCCGTTCTAATTCATTCCAAAGGTGTTCTATCGGGTTGAGGCACCTCAGTGGCTGAGTTGCTATTGTTCCCAATTGCTTCCACTTTGTTATAATACCACTAACAGTTGACCGTGGAATATTTAGTAGTGAGGAAATTTCACGAATGGACTTATTGCACAGGTGGCAACCTATCACGGTACCATGCTTGAATTCACTGAGCTCCTGAGAGCGACCCATTCTTTCACAAATGTTTGTAGAAGCAGTCTGCATGCCTAGGTGCTTGATTTTATACACCTGTGGCCATGGAAGTGATTGGAAAATTAATCACGTACAGTATTTTATACTATAAATAATTAGTCCTATACTGTATATCACACACATATACATACATACATACATACATACATATATTAATATATATATATATATATATATATATATAGGATATACACACACAACTTATTTGTTAAGCACTTTCCGTTTTATATCTCTGTTTGACAGTTGACAGTTTCAGTTGTTGGGTCATGATTACACGCAGTATTAGCGTCACAGTAAACCAAGAAAATCAGAGTGAAGAGTTAATTTTTACCTATTTAACCCAGTGCCAATAAACAATCACTGGCCAAAAAATGATATGGCCTATATATGTAGACATTAACAACCCTGAGAGCTCTAGCTGTGGATGATTTACAGACAGCAACTGCAGCTCTTAGCCTAGCTATTTAACTTGTGTTTGGACATTATAGCGCTTTCCGGATGAAGTCTGAAAGCTATAAATGTGTGTTAAGACATTTAATATCCTGCAGCTAACACATCCAAAACAGCGGTCACATGTGGACGCCTCCACCCTTCAATTTTTGCAACAAAAAAAAAAGTTACTACTGTAAGCATTTTTTCCAAGGGAGGTGGCCTTCCTGCTGACAACACGTCGAGTCTAGCTGCTCATTGGCTAACGGCTTCCCCGGCAAAGCCCGGACTGGCTGAAGTCGCGGTCACTCAAGCTAAGCCCCGCCCCAACCAGATTCCCAACTCCTGACAGGCCTGCGAGTGTTCGTTTGCTACCCAACATTAAACGTTCGTGGAACGGGCAACTAAGCGATCAACCCTCTCTCATATCTTGTAGCCATGAAAGAAAAACTTACAGTGTAGTATGACAGCAACCCGGCGTTATAGTCCAGTACAAACCAGCGGTACTGCCACCCCTTCATGACGTTAGTCCATTTGCTCAGCGGCCCCTCCATGATGGACGCCATTTTTAGACTTTGCCTGAGTGCTCGCGGGGAGGAACGCGCGGCGAGAAAAACCATGCGTCTGACGTCACATGCTGAACTGTGCCTTACTTTATAACATTACAAGGATGACTTCTGGAAGCTTATCTTTATTTGACCCTCTAACTCTAGCACTCTCTATTCTAATTATATTCTTTAAAAAAAAAAACTTGCGCCTTTTAGACTCGCACTCTATTTATTTACTAACTGCTTGTTTTCTTTTAAAAAAAAACCTTTTTCTATTCTGTTTTCTTTTTATTTATTATATGATTAAAAAAACGTAACTGCATTAAGCTAACTGAGACTTGTTATAGCACTTGCATATCATTGCTCTTTTGTTGATTTTGATTGCTTCCGTTGTCCTCATTTGTAAGTCGCTTTGGATAACAGCGTCTGCTAAATGTGTAAATGTAACTGTAAATGGAAGCAATCACTTAAATAATACATAAATGTGCAACGTAGCATGGTGGAAGTCAAAATGAATGAAAACCAACAAGGCTATACATACACGCATATGTTCAGAAATGTAATAAGCTATGGAGATTTTGTAGCAAATATTGTCTACAAATAACATAGTTGTAATATTTTACATGATATATGCAGCTAAGTGTTATAGAGGTTGGGACAGTCTTGTGATTTTGTTTATAAAATCTATTTGAATGCCCTTTTTGTTTTTCTATATAAAATAAACGTTTGATAAATGTTTGATAAGGATTTTGATTAGTCTTTTTTAAGTGAACATTGCATTGAATTCGTTTTTATATTTTCCATTTTCATGTAATGGAAAGTTTTAGTTGTTGTGTTGTGTTTTTTGTCATTTTTATTCGTTTTTAAAATGTGTCTAGATGTTTTTTTTATTTTTTAAAGTTTTAGTTATTTTAGTACATCAAGTTGCAATAACAACTAACTGAAATAAAAGACGCGTTTTTTTAGTTTATTTCAGTTAACGTGTATTTTATTTCAAGTAATGCTGAATGTTTTAATGTTTAGTTATTTAATGTTTACTGTAATAACCCCGCCTTGTGGAATAGAATAGAATAGAATAGAATAGAATAATGTCTCGTACTGCTTTGGGTCATAATGGCTTATGCTCCCACTGATTTACTTATCTATACTGCTCTCTAGTGGTCATTAAATCAATATTTAATATACATTCTTAAAAGAAGTAAAAAGGGACTTTATATCAGATGAAAACATTCTAAAGTTAGGTTTGCATTGAATGGTTCTGGCTTTATGAAGGTGAAATTTACCCAGAAGACAAAGCAATAAAACAATATGTTCCAGATTAATGTCCTTGGAATAATATACACGATATCGCAAACTCAAACGTTCCTTTCTGCTTGTTTCCTTCCAGACTTTAGTTTCTCGTTACACTTAAAAAAAAAAAATTTTAGACCCCTGCCTCTCGCCTCATAATGTAGCTACTGTTGCATGTTGAGGTAAGGTCTTTTGCTATATTAAGGTAAACTAAGGTGTTTCCGCCGTTTTGGAAAGTTCTTCGCGTTGACTATCCCAGTGAGCTTCTAACGACCTTTGACACACTTAAAAATACAAGCGCATGCAGCATAAAGAAGTAGACGAATAATATAAACTAGACATAATAGAAAGACCAATGCAAGTGCAAGGTGCTTTGTTTTAGTATTATTATTATTATTAATATTATTATTAATGTATTATGCATTATTAAAACAATATATATTTATACAGGGCTGTACGTTAACTTTTTTTTCACATAGCACTGGTGCTACAGAGGTTGAAAGTTTTGTAGCACAAGCCAAAAAGTTGTAGCACAAGTATAAAACGTCTGTTATCATGTCTGAAAACAAACACAAGTAATGGAGTTCATCACTTAAACAGGCACTGATGTTCCATACAGAGCACAAAAAATACAAACCATCACAAAAATTGTTTTTAGACAAAGTTTTTTCTTAATTTGCTAAAAATGGAAGAGTGCAGAAACATAACACCTCTTACACCTTAACAAAATATAAAATAAAAAAGAATGGCAGACATTTAGGCCAAAGTGAGCAAAGATAAAAATCTTTGTCATTATTTTATCTTTGTTATTACAAAATAAGAACAAAGATATACATTACAAATACACATAATATACAAATAAAACAAATAGTGCTTTATTTTTCAGGTACAGCATTTAGCAGTAGCATTCAAGAAATTGAATGAACAAATATTAAAATAAAACACTATATACACATCAATTATACTTTTTTATAAGCAACTGACTGATAAGTCATCAGTCAAGAGCAGTGAGTGATTTTTTGTGTGTGTGTTTTGTTATTTTATTAACATTAAAAGAATAGTTCACCAAAAATGAAAATTCTGTCATCTGTCTTTCAATAGTGTTTCATTTTTATACCATCATTTACTCAAGTTGTTTTAAACCTGAATTAGTTTATTTCGTCTGTTGAACATAAAAGTTATTTTTGAAGAATGTGGGTAACCAAGCAGTTGCTGGTCCACAGTAACTTCCATGGTATTTTATTCCTACTGTAAAAGTCAGTGTGGACCAGCTACTGTTTGGTTACTCACATTCTTCAAAATATCTTCTTTTGTGTTCAGCACAAGAAAGAAATTAATACAGGTTTAAGACAAAATGTGAGTTTGTAAATAATGACAG